ATAATAATAATACTTAAAACAGTGGAGCACTTCTTGTATTACCACACGACATCAGTGTTTGCTGTTTGAGAGAAGAACTCTGGCTACAAATTAGGGCTGGATTAAGAAGCTGCAGATACGATACATACCTCTATACATAGACCACGATACGATACATATCTCGATACAGTGCACTTTTGGTTCAATAAGCTATATTTCAAATCGATTTGATATGGTTCATTAAAAAAAGAAAGGGTAAATCATGGCTGTGATACTAAAAGTCTTTGTTAAACCACTTCATGTGCAAAGTTCATATGAAATACACCCATTTTACTCATCAAAACTGCGAAAATGTCAAATGTGTTGCATAAATGAGTTTCCTTCCTCTGAACAAGCAACAAAACTGTAGCACTGTAACAAAATAATTTAGTAAAATATACCAAAAAATACTCTTGGTGCTTTATCGATACAGCAGCCCACAATAACGATACTGTATCATCATATTAAACGATACGATATATTAATATTTCAATTTCGATTTCGTTTGTGTGTTAAAAATGAGTGAATGAAACAAAACACAACTCTAGGTATGTTTTTGATGAGGAAATATATATCATAAATAGTGTAATATGGGCCCTTTTAATAAATAAACCAAACAATACAGTTATTTTGAAAGAAGTTTAGAGTTTTTAGGTTTTAAAATATACACTACATGGTATAGAACGTCCATTCATATGTTGCCGTTGTTACCTATATGGGACCCAGTCATTGCAGTCTGTAACGTAGCCTACTGTAATAAGGATTTGCCAACTTAATGTACCTGAACAGCAATAAAACTGAAATTTTGAAACTGCTCCTTCACTACTAAACAGAAAATAAAGTAGGTCGGCTAACTAAACTTTGTGTCTAGTCTTTTTCATAACTTCCTCAGTGCAGGTCTCACTGATAGAGCTAAACGCCGGAGGCTACATGGCACTTGTCCAGTCACCTGCCTCAGTCTAGCGCCCCCTGTGTGCTGGCTGACCCGAATCCCACCCCAGCTGCCCTTTACTCAGAGCTGCAGGCAGGAGCCGCTCCACACAGATCCACACGGGCGGGAGGGGGTGGGAGCCGAGCAAACTTTTTGTCTACAAGTGTCAGAGTGTAAGTGAAGTGTGTGGCTACGAACGGGAGATAGGGCAGCCAGCCGAGGATGCAACTCCAGGGCAGCAGGGGTCAGTGTTCACAGCAGGGATGGGTTTGACAGACTGTAAAAGTGTCAGGAGTGGGGAAGAGGAAAATCTATAGGTAATGTTTGGTGATGTGTAAGTAGAGTTGGTCCATAGGATGAAACATTGAGATAAGATAATTTATTTATTTTTAATCCAAGCAGAGTAAAAATACAGCAAAAATACAAAAGCAACAAGGATACGCTTACTGTATGAGTGATTAATAGCTACCAAGAGTCACTTTAAGCACTGACAGAATGAAATAAAAACAACAAAAAACAACAAAAATAAAACAAAACAGAAAAACACAATATCAAACATTTGCAGTTACAAGAGATAACATTGTTCAGGGGTTCTTCAAAACTTAGGATAGGATCAAAACACTCGTTTTTGTAAGTAATTTAAGGATTTTCAGATATATTTGTCTCATAATTTTGTTTTATTAGCAACACTATTAAGGTATGTATGTGTTGTTGTAGGTAAGATGGATATATAATACAATTAAAGATAATGTTTTTGTATAATCATTTATGAGAATGATCCTTACCTTTGATTTATGTTTATGGATCTAGTGCTGCCTTTGGCTATTACTTTGAATCTTATCAAAATGCCTCCGGACATAAGATAAATATCATTAGCCAGCTGAAACAACCAGAAACTAAAGTGATTTAAGGCAAAAAGTTGGCACTATGTCATTTTTTTTCCCCAATGGTAAACCTATTTTGACTTGTAGTTCCTAGTTTTTTACCGTATATTCAAAAGTGAAATTAAAGATCATTGGTAACAAACATATTGTATTTATTTATGTATTTGTTTCTTTGCATTTTAAGGTGCTTAATATAATGTTTTTGGTACAGGGTCCGTCCCTTGCTGTTATTGCTGTTACTGCAGGCAGTAGCTTAGTTGCAAGAGCATTTGTCCACTGTTTGAATCCCGCTCTTGACATAAACATTGTTGTCTGGACGATCAGATCCACTGACCCACAGGTTGGCGGTGCGATTTCAGCTCCCACAGATGAATGCTGTTGTTGTGTCCTTGGGCAAGACATTTAACCCAACTTGCCCTCACTGTCTGTCTACACTGTTGTATGAATGTGTGTGTGAATGAGTGAGTGGCTCCCTGATCTAAAGCACATTTAGAGCCTTGAAGGTGGAAAAGTGCTATATACAAATTTATCATTGTTTGGAAATTTGTCCTAATTCTATTTATTCAGTGACAGGCATTTTTACCTTTTAGTTTTATATTGTAAACTCTAAAATGTTGAATATTGTGTGTACTGTTTTATCACTGTACTGTACTTTGATTTTCTATGATTATCTTCATTGTTCCTCCTTAGCAACATCACAAAGCAGTACTGAAGTGTTTACAGTTTTACAGTTACTACATGATATACACCTCATCCCCATGCACAGATCAGTTTGATAAATGTGGTCCATTCTCTCCACACATTTGCATTCATTCACATAGGAGCACTTCTTATTGGGAGCCTAGCATGTGTTCAGACTGACGAGTGGAGATGCAGTTAATTATGTGTAATGAGCACACTTCTGTATAATGCTAATCAACTCAGAGCTGTTTGGAAAAGTGCCACTTGTACAAGTATAATACAGTGAGTGATGGACTGATTGTAATATTGCATTGTGATGCACAATATTGTGGTACTGGATTACAATGTGTTTTATGGTTTAACTTATTTACATATTTATACATTTATTCACTTACTTACTTACTTACTTTAAGTGGATTGTTTCTCAAACTGTTGTACCTGCATAGCTAGTGGTACGCAAGATTCCTCTGGTGGTATGCAATGTCCTGTGCAAGTCTAGGTATCTAATCTTCTTGTCTAATTTTGCATCAGTATTATTCACATTTTTGTCATCCTTTGAGCTAGTTCTTGTATTCTTGCTGGTGTAGTGTTTTTTTAGACCTAGTTTAACCTTAGTATCAACCTAAAATAAAACTGACATTGTATCCTTAGGCAAGACACTTCACCCACATTGCCTAGGATGAACGCGGTGTGTGGGTGAGTGTTGGTGGTCGGAGGAGCCTCGCTTTCTGTCAGTCTGCCCCAGGGCAACTGTGGCTACAGTTGTATCTTACCACCACTGAATGTGGAGTGAATGAAAACTGTAAAGTGTCTTTGACTGTCCAAAAAGTGTTATATAAATCTGATTCATTACTAGTATTAAAGGTGTACTATGCAACTTTTCTGGAGAGTCCACCAACTACTTGTCTGTTTATTGGTCAGAAATATCTTGAAAAAACATTAATTCTTACCTGTGGATAACCTGTAACTTGGCCTGGATGTTTAACCTGCTTGTTTCCAAGGTTAAACAGTATGCTTTCAATGTATTTCTCTTCAGGTTTCTTCACCATCTTCCATTTGATTTTTAGAAATTTCAGAAAATTTCTAGAATTTTTTTTTAGATCCCACCAAATGTACGTCATTTTGAATGCCAAGTTATTTTGAATATTATTTACAAAGCAGAGCAGTGATTGATCCAGGATGTTCATGTGTATCATAGTGTGGGTTGTCTTGGAGATATCACCTGCTTTATTGAATGGAAACAGATACCTGAAAAATTACATAGTACACCTTTAACTTATTTTTCTTCAATTTGTCTTCACCATTTGAATTTTGAAAATTCTGATTAATATTTTAGATTCCCACCAAAATCATAATTGGGAAAACATGAAAACTTGTCATTTGCGCTTTAACCTCAAAGTGTTGCTAGTGTTGCCTCACACACGCCAGCTGATGATATATTGCTAACACTTCTAAAAGGCAAACTCATCTAAATACTGAGTGGGTGTCCTATTTTGACCCCTCTGGGACCCCCTACCTTGCTCTCTCCCACTGCCTCTTGTAAACACGAATGTCAATATTCACGGCTTCCTCTTCAAAGTGTGAAATCTGGGGTTTTAGCCTCCTGCTGGGGAACTCAGAGCAGGTTTGTCTGAACACTTGACTTGTATGCAATGGATGTTATAGAGAACAAAGAGAAAAGACGACACGGCATCTGTCTTTTAATGAAGCATCTGCTCACAAAGGCATTATCAAAACACTGCTCCTGATTTATAATATCAACACAACTGGTGATAGGGTAGTTTCCAAGGCAAACACTCCCGATGATGGATAGGGGAAAATTAGGTCAGTTTGAGGACTATGTTTTTGTTAGTTCTGAAATATAGCGGGAGTGCAGAGTGGCAGAGTGGTTAGACTTGGCAGGTTGACATGGAGTGAATCTAGGTGTGTGCATGTCTTTCCTATTTTTGCTTTATGCACTGTTCAATATGTGGATAATGCACACTATAATTTGTTATTTAAATTCATTTTGTATTTTTCTTGAGTTTTAAGACAATCCTAAAACTTTTTTGACAGTGTTTGCTGTGTGCATTGTGTCACTGTGTCAACTCCTAAACATCCCACCATTAGAGATACATGTTTGACTTTGACTTGTCCAATATAGATCTAAAATGGAAGTTCCTCTACTAAAGTTCCTCCACTGCTGCCCCAATGTGACTCCCAAGGGCCTCCCAGCCAACCAGGTCCGGTCTTGCTTAGCTTCCGAGATCGAATACGAATGGTTTATGCCTTAATAAACTGAGACATCTTGACATAAATTATTAAAACATCACAATATTTCTGTATCATAGCTAGATCATTGATGTAGTGTGGATTTTTAATTGATTTGATTTTCTAAATGGAAATATAGCTGTTGATACTGTTCACATTATACCAAAAAACTCTTGCTTATGCCTATTTAGAGTAACTATCCTGATATTTACTGTCATTTTCTTCTTCTTTCTCAGTTGTTGGTGAACTCCGTGGTGCAGCCGGCTTTGCTGTATGAGAACGTGGTTGTGAGCGAAGGCAGCCCCATCCTCAGAGACCTGCTGTTCAGTCCGGACCACCAGTACCTATACGCCCTCACTGACAAACAGGTAAGAGAACCAATCAGTCAGAACGCAGCATACAGTGAACGCTAATGACCAAGAGCGAACAATAACTGGATATCAATAAGCAGTTACTGTGTGTATTGATTTAGACTCTGTGTTGATTGGTCATGTAGATTATTTTGAATAGTATTTACAAAGCAGAGTATGGATCAGATGTGTTTGTATGTATTATAGCATGAGTTGCGATTACATCATAAAATTGAGGTGGGGCAGTTAATTCTATGGAAAAATATGCCTTTTTACTATCAGATTGCAAATGTTTTATAGTTGATATCTTTGTCATGACTGAATCTATCCGCTTGCAACAAAATATGGTGACTTTGGGCGGCGACAGTAGCTAAGTTGGAGGAGACTGGCGGGTCAAATCCCACTTTCGAAATAAACATTGTTGGGTGATCTGCTCCACTGACTTAAATTGACAGTGATATTCCAGTCAGTTCTTTCTGGTTTGATTGTGTTATAATATAACCCATAGGGATGTAAAAATAACCAAAATATTGTGATATCTTATTATAAAAAGTCTCACAATAATATCGTGCGCTGTCAGAATATATATCGGATTGCAGGTCTTTTTGCTTAAACTGAGTTACAGTGCAGCAATAGCTAAAAAAAAAGACAGAGGGAACTACATAAACCATAATCCTTTGCTCCATTTCAGTGTAGACTACATGAAGAAATAACAGTTCTAAAAAGTCTTAGTTCTTTGGGTTAAGTTTTGTCAAGACATTTTAAAAGGAAAAAGTATCATTCACAGTTCTGTTAGCCTCCACAAAATATCGCAATAAATATCAAGCTGTGAGATGTATACGTAAAAATATTGTACAGAGAGGTTTGGATATTGTTACATCCCTTATCGTGAGCTTTCCCATGATATCACAATAAATATCGTACCATGAAGTTCATACCGTGACAATATTGTATCTTGAGGCTTGGATAGTGCTACACCCCAACTAATAAACTTAGAGAACTACATATCCCATGATTCATTTCAGTCCAGTCAACATGAAGAAATGTTTTTTACTTGAACTCATGGGATTATGAGAGTAATGATTCACACCAAAATCTTGTCAAGGTATTTTAAAAGCAAAAAAGTGTCCTATTTACAATTATATTAGCCTCTCTAAAATATCGAAATAAATATCGTACTGTTAGATTTGGATATCGTTACATCCCTAATAGCTCATTAAAGTCTAACAAGCTTGGGATAGAGCAGTGCTTACAGTTAGCATCACACTCCCATTGAACGTTGACGACATCAGCTGCAAAATATCAATAGCTGACAGATGCAGTTCTACTTCTAATGCGACAATTATAAATAATAACATTGTGAACTCTTCGTGTAAGTTTGCAAAATTCAATAAAACGTAGAGTAGACTGGGGAGAGCAATCAAGCTAATTACATCCATACCACATAGAGAGTGGACCCAGTGCAGTTTAGAGATGCACACACACGCTTCCATGCATGTGCACACACACACACACACATTCACACACATAGGCTCATATAGCAGTTCTAATTAACATCATGCATAATGAATGGTGTCATGTAAGGATGAAGCATGTCACAGCTGTATATTTAAATTACACTCGGAGCTTTGCATTTTAATTGAACACTAAAATGTCCAGGCTAATTGTGAGAAATAATTTTATGCATTAATAATCATGTAAAATCATATCACCTACAAGGAAATGTAATAAGATGTATGAAATTAGATATTTTTGGGTGGTACTTGCTCAATGTACTGCAGTTTATTTTTTCACAGCAGCATTATTATAGACTGTCCACTTTTATGGTGGAAGAGATGTTATTGCTTTGCCTGGATCTATATATTTCCATAGAAAAAAGCAGGTGGTGCCAATTAACCACATTGCAGGTCAGATCTGAGGGGAGGCGAGTGCACTCACAGTAAGAAGGATTAAAAACACAGAAGTGAAGAGATGCAAAAATAGATTTAAAGGTTCTATAAAATTTACTCTTGTGAGCTTTAAGCCATGTTATAATGTTGTTACCTCATCAAAAACAGACCTGGAGTTGTGTTTAGTTTTATTCGCACATGTTTGAGTAACTCTTTAGTATTAGTCTGTCTACATCTTCCAAGCTCAAAATGTTCTGTTCCACCTTGTGATGTCATGAAGAAGCAGTTTTCATGGTAGCAGCTGCCGTTAACATTTTGTTTCGTAGAGATTGGAAACCCCAGGGCTGAAAGTATCCAAATGAGTGAAGGTGTATGGAGTTTAAGTGGAGAACTTCCTGTATTACCACATGACATCACAAGGTGGAACAGAGTGTTTCAATTTGAGAAAAGAATTCAAACAAAACATAACTCCAGGTGATGAGAAAACAACATAACATAGATCAGAAAATAACGTAATATGGACCCTTTAATAACAAATACCGTGGAACATTCCAGTAAGTATTTGTAAGGAATCTCCATGGAGACAAGCAGGCGATGTACCCCCCCACTAGAAAAGCTCCATAGGGCACCTTTAATATCACATTCACATGCCTAATTCTTAATCGTGTAAGCAAAAATAGACAATTTATATGATGTCATGCCATGTGATCTTATTTCCCTGTGCTCAGTAATACTCTAGAAATGATTTGATTGTATTAAGACACTTTATTGCATCAGTCAAGCTTGGCTACATGACATAATGCTATAACACTGTGCAGTGCTGCCTCTTGGGAAATAGTTTCAATAGTCAATACAGGATGAGAAAACACAGGCCATACTAACCATGTTTTATGCGGTCAAGATGGCCTCAGAAGATGTGGTTTTCAACTTCACCACAGTGTATGTATTGTACACATCATTTTATAGGCTGACATTACAACATTCTTAACAGACCAAAGTTTGAAGGGAAAATCAAAAATGCAGATGTTTTGACATGGTTTATGGTTAATATTTCTCTACTTACTGACTTCATCTACCTGGACCAACAACGAGCACAAACTTTAACATTTTCTCTGTCAGAACTATGAATAATGGTTCAATTATTATTATTGTTAATAATATATCGCTTTAAAAAGAGGTAGATTTATTCAATATCAAAGACATGATTATTGAAAGGACATTAAATTAAGTGTGCAGTTTGGGGATTTCTTTTGAATTGCCCTGTGAATTGCCTATAAAGTTATATAGGCCCCTGACCTCCACTTGATATTTTCACATAGTGTGCACTGGACCACTGAGACCTGTAGCACTTCCAAAGATAATGAAATGGTGCAATGTCTATTTGTGCTAATTAAATTCAAGAGGGTATTTAAATGTATAGTAGAGACCATGGACTGCATATATAAATGGACATAGCTAACGCGCCATGATCCTGGTGGGTTTTTGTTTTTTTCGCTATTTTGTCCTTCAAAAAAACATCCTGTTCATAATATAGATCCTGGCTCCAAATTCGCACCTATAACCTTTAGATTCGTTTGAGTGGTACTGAATGCTATGGGTGACTCTCACTTAATCTACTTTTTTATACAGACTATCCATGTATACTATCCACAATCCATGTACAGAAACCGTACATGGATTGGATTTAAATATTAAGTAAAACACACTTATGAGTTTGTTATGAGATGTTATAACAGTCTCTCATTATTGGCTTACTCCAGTCTGTATTTCGTTAGATTCCTGGATGGTTGAGTAATCCTGTATTTTCCTGCCATTGGGACTTGAGTGCTCAGAAAATTGCCATTTTCACCTACCTCCCATCTCCACCTACTGCTTGGTCTTTACTTGCCATTATTCAAAATATTCAGACTCCGGCTTACTTTGTGTTTTCTTTTAATAAGACAAATAGTGTAAAAAACTATTGCTTATTAACCTGACATATTTTGGTGGTAGGATTTATTAGAAGGAAATACAAAATACGTTTTCTGAACATAATTGTCCTGCTGCTTGTTATGGTGAAATGCCACTATAAAGAGTTGGGGTCTATATGTTGTGCAGTTTTGAACAGAAAGTAACTCTTTTAAGATACATATTGCGTTTTACAATGAACACAAAAAGCATAATTCCTTCTTTAGACCTTTTACCATAATGATAAATGTACACTATCACACATTATTATCCTAGAAAATCTGAAGAATCTTTTGAATAAGTATCATCATTGCTGTACATATACTATTACATGTATTACCAGGCTCTAAGTCACTCCCCATGGCCCCGCCCACTTCCCCCTCTCCCCTACGTTACATCCACCACTGTGTTATCCCATAAGAGCTAATGACGGCGCTGTGATAACCTTCAGCAGCTCTCCCCCTGTACGCGCGCTAACTGCCGTACCACTGGTGTGTAATTTCACAGCGATTACGCCTAATTGACTTCCACGTGTCAGACTGGGCGTGCGTGCAGAGGAAGAGGGAAGAGAGGAAGAGAGGAGAAGAGGAAGAGGTTAGAGGAAAAGGGGTGTAACTGATACAGATATGCTGCAGGCATGGTAAAGGGAAATTAGTCTAATTGTAGTCAGGGAAGATGCAGGGCTTCTACTGTACTGTGAGACGCTCTTACGATTGCATATAGTGAAGAAATCCACTCGCACAAAGAGTCATGTTTGAAGGATTTGGATGAAAATAGTTAAATAGAGATCTTAACTATTTATAAGGCCTTAATACGCATTAGTTTGGTGTTTGTTAACATTCTTAGTAGCCAGACTGGCACCTCCAATTTCATTACTGTCCAGCGACTAGGTCAGGAATCAGAATACAGTAGAAGGTATATCCAGAAGTGCGAGTTTGGGCACCAGCCAATCAGCGAAGAGGCATACATTCTGAGTTGTCACCGATTCCCGAGATGGAGGATTTAGAGCCGTAACAAAGAGAATGTTTGGTGAATTTTATCAAGGGGAAAGACGTTACAATTTGGGAAAAGCTTAAAATACCAATTATCCCTGTTAGCAGCGCATTAGATACCTCATGACCAAATAGCAGCAATTGGTTAAATTAAAAAAGTACCTGCCTACGGTTGAGTGAACGAATTCTA